ACTTTAGTACAAATACACAGTTAATCCATAACATTACATCTAGGACTTTCGTACAAATACATAGTTAATCCATAAACATTACATCTAGGACTTTCGCACAAATACACAGTTAATTCATAAACATTACATCTAGGACTTCGCACAAATACACAGTTAATCCATAAACATTACATCTAGGACTTTCGTACATTGTAGATAAATTCTATGACCTAATGTCTTAAATTATTTTTAACTCTTTAAGATTGCGTACCTACGTATGGTCAGGTAATAAACATTCTTTGTTTATCAACCATCATCTTCATATATGAGAAAATTTTTTTTAAATTCAAATATTCTCTAACGACTTTATCACTACCCCTAAGTAGGAACTCATTTTTTTATTTTCTATTACAATTTAATATCCTCAAGTCCTTCGATGTAAAGGGAAAATTACTACAAAGTTTAAATGTTCCGTGAAATAAAATCGAAATTAATTCTTTTTATGTAAAAGTTTCGTGAAAGACTTTACATTGAAAATTTACCTTAATATTATGTATCAAAACATAGAAAATTGCCAATTTAATATTCTACTCATGTTCTATTATTATTTTTGCTATTCAAATAATTAAAAAATCACCTGTCTTCTAGTCTTAAAAATGATGAACATAACTTATCCAGCAAACTGATTTAACATAATTAAAAAATTCTCCTAAACGTGCTGAGCGTGGTCCACGAAAAGGCAGTGAATGGTGTTGACTACCTTCCTTCTAGTCTTTCACTTGAAATTTAGAGACGACTAGTGCACAGAGTCCTCGATTAGCTTTGCGTGAAATTCAACAAACAACATAATGAAATTAAAACAAGTTATCTAACACCGAAGCCAACTTAGAACCCAAAACTACTTCATTTATTTGTTCATATATTTGTTGATTAAACTTAAACATGTGGATATTTATTGACTATATCAAGTAGTTTTCTAAAACCATCCCAGTCAAGTCTATTATAATTCTCATTCTTATAAATAAGACTAACACAAAGATCAAGAGCGTCGTCCAAGATCATATTATAAACTAAATGAAGGTTCTATATCAAAACTAATACAGTATACTTTATCTTGAAATTTTTAAGTTTTAATTTTTCAGAAAATTCAAAATTCATAACTTAATGGCTCAATATAATTAACTAAAAATTTTGATAATTCATGATTATACATTTCAGTGTTTGATATTATTAATCTTACTGGACATGCCTAAACCGTACGATATTCCTGTGTGTTTTTCTCTCGGTCTGAGTTTTTGATATTTTTTTTTCCTTAAATAATTATTTTTTTAAGTCCAATAAATATTTTTGAAATTTAATTTTTTGGTGTTTTAGTTGAATCATTAATTAATTTTTTAAAACTTTGTTTCCTCCTTTAGAATATCTTTAATGTTACTTATTTAATCATTTTTTAGCCGAGGCATAGCGGCTCATAGAACGGCTCTGAGTTTTTTGTTTTTTTTCAAGTACAAACTTTTAGCTCATAGCTCTGTCATCTCTTGACTGATTTGAGATCTAAATACAGTTTTGGACTAAAGGGATCAAACCCTTTTGATTGATGTATTTGACCACGCCCAAGGTCTCATAGATTAATTTACTCTAATCCTGCCTAAAAGAATTTTAATTTGAGAGTAGGCAGGTAGAGATCCTGATGAGTAATAAAATTAAATCGGATATATGTGCACCCCAATCTTTGTATTGATGGCAACGCACAAAAAAAATATAGCTAATAAAAAAGGAAAAAAAAGACGTCTCATACATTAATAAACTCTACTCCTAACTAAAATAATTTCAAGTACCGCGGCTATTGAGGGTTCCATCTTGTTATTTAGAAGAATCGTTCCATTTATCTTATCCGGCTAAGTTATTATGTTATTTTCCTATTTAACTTATTTAAGTGCTTTATGTTGTTTAAGTAAGGTTTCTTACTTTCATTATCCATTTGTACACGTTGTTTTCTTTGTGCACAGCTGCACTCTGTCTATTGAGGGGAATCAAACGCCGGATTTTAACGCTCTAAGTCCGTAAGCTTACCACTGTTTCACCGGAGAATCTGTACTCGTTAAACCAGTAACATGCGTTATAATACTTTCAGATAGTTCTTTACTATTTGGCTAAATGTATACATCTTTACAATATCGAATAAACTGTTTAAAATTCACTAAATAATCTGCATAATGAGGTTTTTCTTCGGTATAGTAAACCTTAACCCTTTAAATAATAATATTTTTCTATTCTTTTTCACTCCAGTGGCTTAGTGGTAAGTCTGAAGGTATGTACTCTAAAAACCGGGTTTCGATACCTGTCGTGGGCACAGCACTGATAGCCCGTTGTATAGCTTTGTGCTTAACAACATGTAAACAAAATCCTCTTCATTTAATGTGTAATATGATACATTAAAAGTAACATGATTGTGGCAACCTAAAAAACTATTTCAAGTAAACGATTTTAACAGTCTAACCTTACTTTAGCAAGATTTTATCATTTTGTATGGAGATACAGTATGTAACTAATGTATTTTACACATGTTTTTTATAACATCTTCACACTTCAAGTATAAAACTAAATGACTGTGATTTACCCCCACCCCATTAAAAAACACGTTTTAACATTGTTAAAGTCATTGATGAGAAACGACTTCGTATTAAAGAAGGCTTACTAATAATTAAGATAAGGCCGTCATTAAAAGAAGTAAATGGCGCCAATTATCTGCTGTTATTAGTATAGCAAATAAACGCTTGGAACTGTTGGACTCAAAGTAAAGTGATGAAATTCTTGGTGGCGAGTTTATATGGTTCTCTGCTTGATGCTCTCTAGCTTTTGGAGAAGGAGTAATTTAGTGACTGGAACATTATTTTATATAACACAGAACGTTCTACAGCTCGAAATGTATCTGTATCAAAGTTCCTTAAAGTATCTCGCTTTTTTTAACAACCTTTGATGGTGATAACATCAGTTTGATGACCTGTGGGTTAGCGTTAATGTGACGTCTCATTTGTTTCTAGCGCTAGGAGCCAATGAGAAACAACTTATCGTATTTACTAAGATTTTCGGTAGGTGGATACTTTCATGAAAGTGACGTAACCCAGGCAATCCTGCCTGAACACGCAACAAATTCGAATCTTGTGATCAAGAAGTTGAAAACGATAACACAAAACAAATCAAACAATACTGTTTACATTACATCATAGCAGTATACCCTACTGTGTGTCTGTTAAAGTATTCTTGTAATCAATTCAATATTATATTCTGTTTTTCATTGGACAAAAAGGGTTACGGAGAACATTATAAAATACCTTTCCAAAGACATGTGCAAACCTTTGATATTGTGGTGAACAAATATCATAATTGAACTTCTACGTCAACCTAACGTATAAATATATATATTCATTCACAATTTTTGTTTAAATGTTAATTACAGGTTCCTGAATCTAGTTACAAGTTTCAGAAATGTAAAATGTATCCAACCTCAAATTTTAGTAAT